AACCTCTTACTATTCCTGCACTTCAGCACCACTCCCCACCACCCTGGCCTACCCCCCACCACCCCCTGACCACCCCGACCTAGCCCCAACCCCTGACCTTCCCCCACCACCCCTGTCCCACTCCCTACTATTCGGCCTGCCACCACCACCTGGTCTGCCCCCACCACCCCAGCCTACCCCCACCACTCCTGACCTGATCCCACCAGCACCCCTGTCCTGCTCCCACTACTCCCACCCTAACCCACTACCACGACCTGACCAAGTAACCCGACCCCCCCCTACCCCACCTACCGACCACTACCCTGGCCTGCTCCTTTCGGACCCTCTGCCTACTTACATATAATTATAAAGACAGACAGAAAGGCAGAAAAAGTGTTATATACTGTTTAGTGAAGGAGGGAGAGGGGGGGCGAGGAGACGGACTGAGCACGAGGGGGGGTGAGACTGACTGAGCATGAGGGGGGGGTGGCAGGTCTCCCCCCACCTCTCTCCATCCATCCACTCATCTCCTTCCTCCCCTCCTCAACAAACCTCCCATTCCCTCCTCTCCAACAAGTTCTCCCCTCTTCCACCCTAACTTCCCTTTCCTTCTCCTACCCCATCTCCCCTCCACCTTTCCCACCCCTGCCTCCCCCCTTCCTCCTCCGTCTCCTTTTTCCTCCCCCCGCCTCCTCTTCCTCCCTGCCTCCTCTTCCTCCCCCGCCTCATCTTCCTCCCCCCTGCCTCCACCTTCCCCACCCCTGCCTTTTCTTCCTCCCCCCCGCCTCCGTCTTCCCACTCCGCCTCCACACCTCCCCACCCAGCCTCCACCTTCTCCCCGCCATCGCCTTCCCCACCCCTGCCTCCGCCTTCTCCCCGTCTCCTTTTAACCCCTGCCTCCACCTGCCCCCACCCCACCCCCACCCCACTCCGCCTCCACTTTCCTCACCCCACCCCGTCTCCCCTCCTCCATCTCCTCTTCCCTGCACCTCACCTCCCCTCCCCTATGTACTAACGAGCACATCAACACTATTGTAGTCTCCCAGCGCATACTGAAACACTGGCGGAATTAATTTTGTAAAATTATCATAAAATTAGATTATAAATGGAAAAATTAACAAAGGAATAAATAGAGAACACACACACACACACACACACACACACACACACACACACACACACACACACACACACGAAATATGATTATCTGAACTTTTGTGTTATGATGGTCAGTATGCAATGGCTATCATGTGGTGGGCAAGTAAATATGTTTTTGGAAAATGTGTGTATGTATTGAGGATACGTTCATTGTTTGTTTGTGGGCCGAAACATTGATGTTTTTAGTCAATATTTTGAACCTCTAAAATGACCCTTAAACACTGGGAGGAGAGGGAAGGAGGGGGGGAGGGTGAGAAACACGCGACTCTCACCACAAACACAATAACCCAAGTAAGTTAACAAAGTGTCGGTAAGGATAATAGTGAGAGGCAGTCATGAAACAAAACTCAGACGATTACGATTACAAGTCAGAGTAGTTGTCCTGTTAGAGTAATTGTGACAATGTGTGGTGAGTGATTCCCCAGATTAAGCAGGTCCAGTATGTAAGGGGGACATTAGGGATAGAGTAGAGGTCAGTGCCGCAGTGTTAGTGAAGCTGATGGTCACGGACACAAGACGGAGGTGGTCTACTAAGTTTTGAGAAGCCTGTGATGTTAGATGCAACGATCCGGTCAACCTAACCTAACCCATCCAACCCAAACTTAACCTAACCTAACCTACCCAACTCAACCTAACTTACCCAACTCAACCTAACCTACCCAGGTCAGCCTAACCTACCCAACCCAACCTAACCTACTCAACCTAACTTACCCAACTCAACCTAACCTACCCAGGTCAGCCTAACCTACCCAACTCAACCTAACTTACCTAACCCAACCCAACCCAACCTAACCTAACCTAACCTAACCAACTTAACCTAACCTAACCTACCCAAGTACTCAAATTACCTTACTCTATCCTCTCATAGCCTAGCTAATTTAACCAAACCTAACCTAACCTAAACTACTTTACCAAAGCCTATCTAACTTACTTAATCTAAGCCAATCTAACCCAGTCTAAACATAACCTAACTTAGTAAAATAAAATATTGCAAACACACTAGGTTGGTTCGTGTTGTGTCTCGTCATTTATGGTGTGCCTCTAGACGACCTGCTAGACAAAGCCTTCCTAAGTGTTGGCCGACCCTGGGGGAACTCGTCTCGTCAACACCACCCCACACTGGACGGACCTGACACATTATGGTGCGGGTTCTGTGTTTCTTTTAACGATCCTATTATCAGATTTGTTCATAAAATACATCTATTTATTTCTTGGATATTTAGAGGTCTTAGTGAAGTTGTAATTAAGGATATTTAAAGAAACAGAATTCGGAGTCCGTGTTTTACCGGTGAGTGATTCATTTCTTGATGAAGCAATAGATACCTTTAGCAGTTATACGTGGCTGATAAATTGTAATTCTGTGAAATTTATTCAGTTTTGGCGTAAAGCTAAAATGATTCAATCCAAGACCAGCCAACTTAGAAAGTACACAATACCTTTCCTGATTTATGACAGGTGTTGTTTGGTAACGGACCTGTGACGACGCCCGTTAATACATTATAACAACAACTAAACTTAAGATACACGAAAACGGCGAACATATAAGTTTTTAAGATTTTTTATAGAATATTTATTGCGTGAATGTATTTTTAGTTAACATCGGAGCTGAAAAAAAATCCTCCGGAAGCAATAAGGAAACATTGACAAAAACCTATCCCAATTAAATAAAAACTACCATAGGGTTGCTGTTAGGTGCAGTTGGTGAATGTTATGTACTGTACTATCATTATGGGTTTGTCCATGTAACCACCGAAGCCATTTTTTTTTCACCGGATTTTATTCTATTATCTACAACAAACTTATCGGTTAAGATCCCGGAAGAAACCCCAGAAGAAAATAACCTGGTGACGACCGTCTCCTGTACTGTACTTTTATTGACCTTTGTTTACCTCACTGTAATATAATATTGTACGACATCGTATTGAAAAATAATCCCCATGTTTCATATTTATTCCCAGACACTTATGTATACATGAGTTTATGTACTCGTATTACCACAAACTAACTGTCCATCACACTTGATAGCATATAAGTAAAATGTTCAGTAAGTCGTGATGCAACAGTTAAGGTGAATATACCATTCATGGGGGAGGTAATGGCGTGTGAACTGTGTGGTAAGGTAGTGGTGATGTAAGGTGAGGCTCACCTCACTTGACGCCACAGTCACCACGCCGTCACGGCCATGATGGACTGGGGAATAATACGACACTAATTTGAAATGTGCTTCAGTACCTTGGTTCGAGCCTTGTGACGTCAGTCGGGTCCAGTGAGTCGAGGGGGAACGACTCTAAATTGCCACCCACGAATAATCGCGAGTTTTATATAATCGAACCCGAGAGCTCCTCTGAATGCAACATAATTCTAGCGTAAATAAAATGAGATCTTTAAAATTCCACAGCACGTAATGACGCGGAGAACTGGTTATAACAACCTACCATAATTGGCCGCCTGTGTTGTGTTGTTGTTGTTGTTGTAGGTGAGTTTTAGCGTGTGACTATAATTAAGGAAGACAGGAAATTAGTAATCAAAGGGTTGTTATAGAATACCTTCAACTAAACTAATGTATCAAAGGAAGACGTGAAAGAAAGAATGGCCATTAAAATTGGAAGCCAAGTTCAGCCCAGTGTTTAGGCCTGGTAGGTGGGGCCATATTACACAGGTTAAGTGTGAGTATTACAATGATCCAGGTGTTAGCTGTGTTGACTCACTGTTGACCTCACTACCTCAACTCCAGCCTCTCTGGTCACGCACCTCCACCGTCTCCCTATCCCATCCATACCTCCCTATCCCACCTCCGTCTCCCTATACCACTCATGCCATCCTATCCCACTTCCGTCTCCCTATCCCAACTCCACCTCCTTATCTCACCCATACTTTCCTATCCCATCCCGCTTCCCTGTCCCACCTCCGTCTTCCTATCCCACCAATACCTTCCTATCCCACCCATACCATCCTATTCCACCTCCACCTGCCTATCCCACCTCCGTCTCCATATCCCACCCATACCTTCCTATCCCACCAATATCTTCCTACCCCACCCATACCATCCTATTCCACCTCCACCTCCTTATCCCACCCATACCTCCCTATCCCACCCACACCTCCGTCTCCCACCCCGCCTCCTAATCACACCCTCACCTCCTCAATTTACAACATATTTTTCATCATCTTCATTACCCGAGCTTGTTATGTATGTGACGAGAGATTGGTATATAAGCCCCTCTGAACCTACAGCAGTTTTAGACTCCCTACAGATCAAGTCATTACAGTACATTTATATTTAGCTTGAGGATTATTTCAGTGATTGTACAAGATAGTCTCCAAAACCTGACAGTGGTTGAGTGAGAGAGAGAGCGAGGTGGTGTGAGAGGTGGTCCAGCCAGCCCTCTCTGTCTCTCCTGCGTGGGGCTGTCTGGCTACACTTGTTTGTTGCGTCTCTTTCTCCCATGGTAAAGTCTTGGTTACCGTGTGTGCTTCGTCTCCTTGCTTTACTGTGCTGATATAGATGGAAATCGATCGTGACAGTGAGGCTTTGCGCACATCTATGGAGTTTTATATATATCTAACAAGTGGTTGTTATTGTTATTGTTGAATTTTGAAAGAGGTTTATTAATTAAATTTATATCGTCCCCTGTAACAAAACGCAGATGAGTAATATAGTATATATGTTATGACAGGTTCACTAACAACGATCACTGGTACCGACTGTAAAGTTATGTGTGTGGGGGTGAAGTACTGTGTGAGGTTGGATTAGATTTTACGGCTACCACTTATCTTCTTTAAATGTATTTTTTTCACCATGTTATAATTGTTTTAATTGGTGTCTGTTAGTTTCTCTTGTGTAGGTTGAGTGTTAGTGTGATGGTAGTTATTGTTTACACGCTGCTGGGGACTCATCATGGCTGCGCCCTCCACGTCCCCACGACCATTCTCAGTATCAACAATTCCACACCATTTGGTAAGTTATTTATACATTAGAATAATATATATATAGCGTATGTAATATTATATATTTACGTTCTACACTTAATGAAATACATTTGCCGGTTTTTAAAGGCTGCTCACACGTCGTGTTTGGGTAACCAGGCGTGATTTTATACCCAAGCTTTTCTGTGTTGGTGAAATTATAGCTGGTGTCTGGTGGTGACCCAGGCTGACCCCAGCTGACTTATTGCCTCATCATATAGTCTCTAACACTAAGTTAAGTAGAGCTGTGTCAGGTGAGGCAGGTTGTCATGTCTGTCCAGGAAAGTAACTCTGCCTTAAATCTTAAACCACTGTCCTCAGAGGGCTAACTAAAGTCTACTCAACAACAGCTACAGCCACCATATGTGTAATTATTGAAACATTTTGTTATAGTTTAATTTTCATATATATATATATATATATATATATATATATATATATATATATATATATATATATATATATATATATATATATATATATATATATATATATATGTATATATATGTATATATATTTATTTATTTATTTATATAAGTGTGCGTGTGTGTTTATAATACAAAGTTATAATTTTTCATCATAATTCTTGGTGTATTAAAGACACACACACACGTCAATGATTACAAATATTCATAAGAACTGTATTGGCATATAAGTTTTAAAGATACTTACACAAAAATAAAACTGAGCAGTTTCGGGTTTATGAGAAATAAAATCTACAAGTAATCTTATTCAATGGTACTTGACATACTTCATGGATAAGTTAACTCGGGGAAAATTACATCAAAGGATTTTCCAGACGTCCCAAAAATACCTGATAAAATCAAATTAGTTTTGTTTACTTAATATTCCCAGAACAACGAGTCCACAGCTGGTGGACGACATGGAGGGAGAACCAAGTATTGTGAGAGACAACTCTGCCGGTCTGTACAGTTGCAAATGAGATGGTAAATTTATATTATATAACCAATGCTTGACCTACCTCAGAGTGTAAGGTACTGTCCAGGGTGATACAGCGTGCGGTGATAAACCAACTGGACGCTCCTCAACGCTTTTAATCCATTTAAGGATCCATTTCATATTTCCATAATATAATGATGAAAGCAATATTCAACAAAATTGCCTTGCAATTGTTGTTTTTACATATATTGATCTTTCTAGTTTCACAATAGAAACATAAACCTCTGATATGAATATTCACCGTGCACACGAAAGTAAGCGATGTATCGCTGAACCTTAAGTATTGAGAATAATAGAAGTTGTTTTGCTTGGTATAGTTGCTTTAGTTAGTTTCGTATTTGAGAGCCCATTTTAACCCGTTTTCTGTGTTACCTCTCGAGCAGCCGCCGTGACACCGTCATCGTCTGGTCCGCCTCTGTCTTGATCGTCCAGCCCAAGCTAGCAGAAAAATGCGGATATATATATTTTACTGCGTGAGATTGTATCTGATGCCAACTCTGGCGAGGTCCACACGGCTGACCTTCCACAATAACCAGCACAATCGTTTATTTTTCTTACTAAGAATATTGTTGGAACATATGTGAGTGGGAGAGAAATACAGGGTTAGTAACCTTTACGAGAGACAGACAGAGACAGAGGTGAGGGGGAGGGTGTGAGAGCAGGAAGGTAGGTAGTAGTTGTAAGAGAAAGCAGGAGAGACCATAACGGGTCATCAGCTGGATGTTAGGAGAGAAAGCGAGAGATAAGACGAGTAGATAAACAGACGTACAGAGAGGCAAGGAGGAGGAGGGCAGTAGCAGTGATAGGGGAGAGCCTCGTGGGCCATAACAGGTCATCAACAAGAGGGTGGAGGCAGGTCTCATCAACGCCATAAACTCGCACACAACCTCCATCATAAACGACCCCCTAAGAGGCTCCTGCATTATAAAGCCGCGGGTCTTAACGGCTACTTTCCACCTTCAACCGAGTCCTTAGTATTGAATGAATATATCCGGAGATAATTTAACATCTCGGATGTCCTTGTGCTCGCCCGCCATCATCCACCTAACGATAGTGGTTTTGCGGGTCACTGGCCCCTCTTCTGACAGGTCCAGTTGGGGAAAGAAGGGAGGGAGTAATGACCGCTCTTCTGTGGTAGGAAGGAACGTGATGAACACTTGCCTGTGGTAGTGACCACTCCTCTCTGTGTGGTAGTGAGGAGGTTGTTGACCATTCTCCTGTGGAAGGAAAGAGGTTAATGACCCCTGTTCTTCGGTGAAAAAAGATTGTGGTTAACTACTGTTCTTATTCTGTGGTGGAAGAAGGTTAATGCCCGCTCCTTTGTGATAAATATACTACCAACATCCTTCCAGCACTACCAACATCCTTCCAGCACTACCAACATCCTTTCAGCACTACCAACATCCTTCCAGCACTACCAACATCATTCCAGCACTACCAACATCCTTCCAGCACTACCAACATCCTTCCAGCACTACCAACATCCTTCCAGCACTACCAACATCCTTCCAGCACTACCAACATCCTTCCAGCACTACCAACATCCTTCCAGCACTACCAACATCATTCCAACACTACCAACATCCTTCCAGTACTACCAACATCCTTCTGTTACTACCAACACCCTTTCAGTACTATCAACATCCTTCCAGCACTACCAACAACCTTCTAGTACTACCAACATCCTTTCAGCACTACCAACATCCTTCTAACACTGCCAATATCCTTCCAGCACTACCAACATCCTTCCAGCATTACCAACATCCTTCTAGTACTACCAACATCCTTTCAGTACTATCAACATCCTTCTAGTACTACCAACCTCCTTCTACTGCTACCAACATCCTTTCAGTACTATCAACATCCTTCTAGTACTACCAACATCCTTCCAGCACTACCAACATCCTTCCAGCAGTACCAAAATCCTTCCAGTACTATCAACATCCTTCTAGTACTACCAACCTCCTTCTAGTACTACCAACATCCTTTCAGTACTATCAACATCCTTCTAGTACTACCAACATCCTTCCAGGACTACCAACATCCTTCCAGCATTACCAACATCCTTCCAGCAGTACCAAAATCCTTCCAGTACTATCAACATCCTTCTCATACTACCAACCTCCTTCCAGCAATACCAACATCCTTCCAGTACTATCAACATCCTTCTAGTACTACCAACATCCTTACAGCACTACCAACATTCTTTCAGCACTACCAACATTCTTTCAGCACTACCAACATCCTCCCAGCACTACCAACATTCTTTCAGCACTACCAACATCCTCCCAGCACTACCAACATCCTTCTAGCAATACCAACATCCTTCCAGCACTACTAACATCCTTCTAGCATTACCAACATCCTTTCAGTACTACCAACATCATCCTTCCAGCACTACCAACATCCTTTGAGGACTACCAACATCCTTCTAGTACTACCAACATCCTTTCAGTACTATCAACATCCTTCCAGAACTAAAATCATCCTTCCAGTACTATCAACATCCATCTAGTACTACCAACATCCTTCTATTACTACCAACATCCTTCTAGTACTACCAACATCCTTCTAGTACTACCAACATCCTTCTAGTACTACCAACATCCTTCTAGTACTACCAACATCATTTCAGTACTATCAACAACCTTCCAGCACTACCAACATCATTCCAGCACTACCAACATCCTTCTAGTACTACCAACATCCTTTCAGTACTATCAACATCCTTCCAGCACTACCAACATCCTTCCAGTACTATCAACATCCGTCTGGTACTACCAACATCATTCTAGTACTACTAACATACTTTCAGCACTACCACCATCCTTACAACACTACCAACATCCTTCCAATACTAAAAACATCCTTCCAACACTACCAACATCTTTCCAGCGCTACCAACATCCTTCCAGTACTATGAACATCCTTCTAGTACTACCAACATCCTTTTAGTACTACCAACATCCTTTCAGTACTACCAACAACCTTCCAGCGCTACCAACATCCTTCTAGTACTACCAACATCCATCCAGTACTATCAACATCCGTCTAGTACTACCAACATCATTCTAGTACTACTAACATTCTTTCAGCACTACCAACATCCTTCTAGTACTACCAACATCCTTGCAGCACTACCAACATCTTTCCAGCACTACCAACATCTTTCCAGCGCTACCAACATCCTTCCAGCACTACCAACATCTTTCCAGCTACCAACATCCTTCCAGCGCTACCAACATCCTTCCAGCACTACCAACATCCTTCCAGCACTACCAACATCCTTCCAGCACTACCAACATCTTTCCAGCGCTACCAACATCCTTCCAGCGCTACCAACATCTTTCCAGCGCTACCAACATCCTTCCAGCACTACCAACATCCTTCTAGTACTACCAACATCCTTCCAGCATACCCAACATCCTTCCAGTACTATCAACATCCTTCTAGTACTACCAACATCATTCTAGCACTACCAAAATTCTTTCAGCACTACCAACATCCTCCCATCCTTCCAGCACTTCCAACATCCTTGTAACATTACCAACATCCTTCTAGCAATACCAACATCCTTCCAGCACTACCAACATCCTTCTCGTACTACCAACATCCTTCCAGTACTATCAACATCCTTTTAGTACTACCAACATCCTTCTAGTACTACCAACATCCTTCCAGCACTACCAACATCCTTGTAACATTACCAACATCCTTCTAGCAATACCAACATCCTTCCAGCACTACCAACATCCTTCTCGTACTACCAACATCCTTCCAGTACTATCAACATCCTTCTAGTACTACCAACATCATTCTAGCACTACCAAAATTCTTTCAGAACTACCAACATCCTTCTCGTACTACCAACATCCTTCCAGTACTATCAACATCCTTTTAGTACTACCAACATCATTCTAGTACTACCAACATCATTCTAGCACTACCAAAATTCTTTCAGCACTACCAACATCCTTCCAGTACTATCAACATCCTTCTAGTACTACCAACATCGGTCTAGCACTACCAAAATTCTTTCAGCACTACCAACATACTTCCATTACTATCAACATCCTTCTAGTACTACCAACATCATTCTAGCACTACCAAAATTCTTTCAGCACTACCAACATCTTTCCAGTACTATCAACATCCTTCTAGTACTACCAACATCCTTCTAGTACTACCAACATCCTTCCAGCACTACCAACATCCTTGTAACATTACCAACATCCTTCTAGCAATACCAACATCCTTCCAGTACTATCAACATCCTTCTAGTACTACCAACATCATTCTAGCACTACCAAAATTCTTCCAGCACTACCAACATCCTTCTCGTACTACCAACATCCTTCCAGCACTACCAACATCCTTCTCGTACTACCAACATCCTTCCAGCACTACCAACATCCTTCTCGTACTACCAACATCCTTCCAGTACTATCAACATCCTTCTAGTACTACCACCATCATTCTAGCACTACCAAAATTCTTTCAGCACCACCAACATCCTTCCAGTACTATCCTTCTAGTACTACCAACATCATTCTAGCACTACCAAAATTCTTTCAGCACTACCAACATCCTCCCAGCAATACCGACATCCTTCCAGCACTACCAGCATCCTTCTCGTACTACCAACATCCTTCCAGTACTATCAACATCCTTCTAGTACTACCAACATCCTCTAGTCAGCACTACCAACATCCTCCCAGCAATACTGACATCCTTCCAGCACTACCAGCATCCTCTCGTACTACCAATCCTTCCAGTACTATCAACATCCTTCTAGTACTACCAACATCCTCTAGTACCGCCAACATCCTTCCAGCACTACCAACATCCTTGTAACATTACCAACATCCTTCCAGCACCACCAACATCCCTCCCAGCAATACTCAACATCCTTCCAGCACTACCAACATCCTCTTCCGTACTACCAACATCCTCCAGTACTACCAACATCCTTCCAGCGCTACCAACAACATCCTTCCAGCACTACCAACATCCTCGTATCATTACCAACATCCTTCCAGTACTACCAAATCATCCTTCCAAAGTACGCCCAACATCCTTCCAGCACTACCAACATCCTTGTATCATTACCAACATCCTTCCAGTACTACCAACATCCTCCAGTACTACCAACATCCTTGTATCATTATTACCAACATCCTTCTAGCAATACCAACATCCTTCCAGTACTACCAACATCCTTCCAGTACTATCAACATCCTTCCAGTACTACCATCTTCATTCTAGCACTACCAACATCCTTCCATCAATATCCCTTCCAGTACTACCAACATCCTTCCAGCACTACCAACAGCATTGTATCATTACCAACATCCTTCTAGCAATACCAACATCCTTCCAGTACTACCAACATCCTTCCAGTACTACCACCAACATCCTTCCAGTACTACCAACGTCCTTCCAGTACTACCAACATCCTTCCAGCACTACCAACATCCTTGTATCATTGCCAACATCCTTCTAGCAATACCAACATCCTTCCAGTACTACCAACATCCTTCCAGTACTACCAACATCCTTCCAGTACTACCAACATCCTTCCAGTACTACCATCATCATTTTAGCACTACCAACATCCTTCCAGTACTACCAACATCCTTCTAGTGTTACCAACAACATTCTAGTACTACCAACATCCTTTCAGCACTACCAACATCCTTCTAGTACTACCAACATCCTTCTAGTACTACCAACACCCTTTCAGTACTACCAACATCCTTCCAGCACTACCAACATCCTTCCAGTACTATAACATCCTCCTATTACTACCAACATCCTTTCAGCACTACCAACATCCTTCCAGTACTATCAACATCCTTCCAGTACTACCATCATCATTCTTGCACTACCAACATCCTTCCAGTACTACCAACATCCTTCCAGTACTACCAACATCCTTCCAGTACTACCAACATCCTTCTCGTACTACCAACATCCTTCTTTTGCTACCAACATCCTTCTATTACTACCAACATCCTTCCAGCACTACCAACATCCTTCCAACACTACAAACATCCTTCCATCACGACCAACATCCTCCAACACTACCAACACCCTTCCACCACTACCAACATCCTTCCAACACTACCACCATCCTTCCAGCACTGCAAACATCCTTCCAACACTACCAAGATCCTTCTAGCACTACCAATATCCTTCCAACACTACCAACATCCTTCCACCACTACCAACATCCTTCCAACACTACCAACATCATTCCAGCACTACCACCATCCTTCCAACACTACCAACATCCTTCCAGTACTATCACCATCCTTCCAACTCTACCAACATCATCCTAGCTTTACAAACATTCCTTCATCACTACCAACATCCTTTCATCATTACCACCGTTATCCTACAACACTCAACACCTCTGCCAACATCACCACGCCCTCCAACACTCAACACCTCTGCCAACATCACCACGCCCTCCAACACTCAACACCTCTGCCAACATCACCACGCCCTCCAACACTCAACACCTCTGCCAACATCACCACGCCCTCCAACACTCAACACTCCTGCTAACACACGACATGCCCTCCAACACTCCAACACCTCTACATCACCACGCCCTCCAACACCAACACCTCTGTTAACATCACCACGCCCTCCAACACTCCAACACCTCCCCAACACTGCCCACGCCCCTCCAACACTCAACACCTCTCAACATCACCACGCCTCCAACACTCAACACCTCTGTTAACATCACTTCCACGCCTCCAACACTCAACAACTCTGCCATCATCACCAGCCCTCCAGCACCTCACCACTCCTGCCAACATCACCTTCCACGCCCTCCAACACTCCAACAACACCTCTGCTAACATCACCACGCCCTCCACCACTCAACACCTCTAACACTCACCACGCCCTCCAGCACTGAACACCTCTACACATCACCTGCCCTCCAGCACTCCAACAACCCTCTACATCACCACGCCCTCCAACACCTGCACACATCACCACGCCTCCAACACTCAACACTCCACATCATCACCCACGCCCTCCAACACCTTCCAACACCTTGCCACTCACCACCCTCCAGCACTACCACCTCTGCCAACATCACCACGCCCTCCAGCACTGAACATCTCTGTTAACATCACCACGCCTTCCAGCACTCAACACCTCTGCCAACATCACTACGCCCTCCAGCACTCAACACCTCTGCCAACATCACCACGCCCTCCAACACTAAACATCGCTGTCAACATCCGGTGGCTGCATGACCTTGCTCTGATGGTCTGCTTGTAAACACCCGAGCTCTTGTTTACTGACCAAATCCTGTTCTCTGCGGTCCTCAGTGATGCTTGTGTAGTGCGGTGTGGGAGAGGGGGGGGTGGTCGTGCTGGATATTATGTAATAATAATAAGGATCTCCTGAAGATTAAGACCCCCGATTTCACTTGATGATTAAAGACCATAAACCTAACCTAACCTAACCTCACCTTACCTAACCTAACCTCACCTAACCTAACCTCACCTTACCTAACCTAACCTTACCTTACCTTACCTTACCTTACCTTACCTCCAGGTAGCATTGGAGTGTTTAATCATCAGGTGGAATAAGTGGGTGCTCGAAACCTTCATGAAACCCATAAAATCTACATAAAATCAGGATATTATGTAATAATAATAATAATAATAATAACAATAATAATAATAATAATAATAATAATAATAATAAGTGGGTACATATACCATTGTATCCCAAAGTACAAAAATTTAAGTAAATCACCAAAGACATGACAATACGGCATATCCTTGGACGTGAGTGTAGTACTGTACATGTTGTATGGTAAAGATGTGACAGTGAATAAAACGTCGTGGGAATTATCACTGGTTCACATGGGGACGTAATACACAGCGTTTATTTCTTGTTATGTGCTTAATCGCCATGTTTACTTTCGCAGCTTGTTCCCTGCGTGCCAGCCGGAAGACGAGTTACGGCCTCTAAGAGCGGAGGATCTTTCCATCTTGCGGTGAGTACAAACTACTTAATTGTATATTATACTGTAATAAAATAACAGTGTGTGTGTGGTGGCGCTCGACGTGGGAGGCCAGTCAGTGGTGGCGGGCAGCAGCTACACCACCACCACCCACCCACCGCCGGGATATACCAAGTTAACCGTGAAATCGGGTTATCCGTGATCATGGCCCGTCTTTCAATCACGGATAACTGGGTGAGTCCTGTAAAGAACTTTTGAGTGACGGAAGTTAAGTGTTTGAATGAAAGTTATGGAGAGTTACAGGAGGTGTCGGTGATGAGGGCTAGGTGAGCGCTGCTCTACCAAACCCGTGCATTAGTCTTTCACCTGGCGCCTGTAAGTGTAATGTTTGGTGACCACTCTGGTAACTTGTATCATCATTTAGCTACTAAATAAATTCCGTTCTGTAGCCTTTACATCCTTTTAGTCTGTTGTTGTGTGAGACTTGGACGATATACAGGTGCCACACTGTACAGTATGTAGTCACAGTTGGTACAGTATATACCAACTGTGACCTTATATACCACATGCTGCACGTACAGTGTGACTAATTTATCACTTGAGAACCTCTACTGTACATTGTTCTAGCTATCCTATACTAGTCAGGTGTTTAACACAGTCAGTCCATCTAGTATTAAGTTGGTATTTCTCCCATGGCTCGAGGGGTTGGAAACCATATTTACTGATTTGATCTCTTTAAGTTCTACAAGGGTTTCATAAATATACTGTATACCAGTGACTAATGAAAACAGGATCTACAAATTTTATGGAGTCGGATACATCCTGGGAAGTTAATTAGTTATTATCAGAAAAAATACCTGGTGCCAGTCGGGTGCCCTGTGGCACTACATGAGTAACGTAGTCTCCAGTTGACAACACATTCGAATACTTGACCTTATGGCGGCGATCTGAGAGAAAATTTGAATGATAGGGAGTTATGATGGGCGACACCCCAGTAAATACAGTAACTGACGGCCGATGATATTATGCACATAATCGAATATTTTTTTTATACTCAGTGAGGAACATGGCGGTGACGTGATTCACTGCCTCTACAGGTTTCGTCTAAGATGTAGATAAGGCAGTGTACCATTAAACATTCTCTCGTGTTGCCGTACTAGAAGCTGTCAAACTTTGTTTGATATCGTGGAATATTCAACTATAGCTTGGTGTATCAGTCTGAGTAATTCTTGAAGATGGACTCATGGGCGGTGTTCTGAAAAACTGAAATCTTAAAAAAAAATAAATAAAATTATGAGTATTCTCTTCATCACCTTTTTGTCAAATATTTCCTAATAAATGTAAGAGAACTACAACATTTTCTGGAGGAGGTTTTAACGCTCCTCAACATATTTTTTTTTTTAATTTAGCAACGTTATTGACAAAGCTTGGAGTACAGTTTGCCTATTCTGAGTAATTCAGTCAGGTCTTGACATTGAGGGTGCGATCAGTTCTCACTGCCATGCAGGACAGAGATTCAAACACAAAGAGGATAATAGTACAGGTCATATTCATTAATAGTATAGGTAATTTTCATGAGAAGGCTATCACTGTTCACTACCACACAGGACAGTGGTTCATATACAGTATAAGTCATATTCTAATTGAGGACTAATCAGTGTGGGCTTGCAAATTTAGGATACACCGCAAGAATGTCCTCAAGCACCCCTGATTCATTGTAGTAATTACAAAGTTCATGATACAATAAGCCAGGTTGCCAGAAGTCTTTGACAGTGTCAAATTCAATAATATAGTGTTCAAGTGTATGCTTTAAAGGTTTATCACAAAGTTTACATGTTGAGTGTTCCGGTATGGGTACAGCGTCACTAACCTGCCAGATGTGTCTGTATCCTAGCCTAATTCTGGCCACGACTACTTCACATTGTCTGGTTGTGTCCTTATGCTGGCCATACCGGTAGCTCTTGTCACAAAGTTTGTCATATTTACTAATGCTACAACGTCAGGTCTCTTCATTGCTCAATTCTTCTAGATCAGAGTTCATGATTTTGATTTGTATGTTTTTAAGTACAGCATTGGACATGCCAAGGTCCTGGTCTACATTTTCTTTCTTAATGCCTCATTGGCCAGTTTATCAACACGGTCATGACTCCTAATTCCATCACGGGAGGAATTCACAGAAATTCAAAACGAAAGTTGTTCTCCCTAGCAGTTATGGATAGATTTAGAACCATTATCAGAATGTGTCACAACTCTCTCAACTAAGATGATAGATGCAAAAAAGGCGGAATAGATAGAAAATAGCAGAATATTTAGTAAAGAAAACAAATTAGATAGAATAGATAGAAAAAACTAGTACATAAGACTATCAAACGAAAACATATGTATTTATTTTTAATTTTTCCTTCATTAACGTGTTATCTGATTCTCTCAATTTTACAACGTGGATATATCTTCTCGTTCATATGACTAATAATGGCAACAGCACTTACAGGTCTCTAGGGTCAAGTCGAATGCTGTTGACGTCGGCAGTGAAAATATAAAAACAGTGCTGGAACACCTAAAAATCAGCGAGGCATATCTTTGAGCCTTTGAAAACAGACGAGAACAGTTAGAGAAAAATATTATAAATAGCTTTAGTTAGATTATTGATAATTTCTGACAAGTTTTCTATTCTTGTTTCATCAACTTTCAATTGTTTACACACAGTGGGATAGGCCTATGTGGTTATCCTCGCGTGATTTCTTACCCATACCTATATCCGACGTCTACAACAAATGGATGTCTTGCTAAATTATGGTGTTACTGTACTATCTTTTATGTGTACTTATAGCCTATATACAGTCACGCCACTGAGACACTGAGATATTAGTTTGCTGGAAGTATACACAAATACATGCGTGAAGTCTGTGTACTGTAGCGTGGTTAAGCTGCTGGGTATACACAGCTTGAGTGTCAGTCATAGCTATTTAGTCTATGTATCTGCAACCTCTGATACATTGCTCTCTACCATGACCTGAGCGCACTTTATACTGTCTCCGTAAATCAGGGTCACCCCACGTCCTCGTACAGGTATAGCACAGTACTTAGTATTATTCCTACAGACTTTTTTTCTGTGCAAACTAAAATATAAGCGGTTTAGACACGTGCATTTTTCTTGGTGATTGGTGCATGGCCTTGTTACAGTTTGAGGCACGAACGAAAAAAACAGCTAATTTGTCCACAGTTCAGCCGATTTTTTGTAAAAAAAATTATGTATGGATGACAATATTTATAGTTAACATGAATAGTATAAATTATCAGGAATATCGGGTTTAATCTGCTATAAATGTGGCTCCGTTATCTCCACCAGGGGGGTCGGGTTTCGGTACAGTAAATTAGACTTGACCTACAGTAGTATAGGAAGAGACCGTCGGGTAATCAACACTCGTTCCTGTCTTGCCTCATGATGGATCACTGATGAAGGAAGATCTCAAATTTATCAGAAAAATTTACACCGTTGTAAAGTTCCCATACAAATTGGGTTAATTACAATTTTTGCTCAGTGAACAATTGGGAAATATCTTTACTCCTTAGTGAACAGTCAAGAAAAAACTATTAACCAATGGACAAACGGAAAAAATAGTGCCTGTTGGTGATTTTTTTTTAACATTTGTTGCTTGGCAACTTTTATTATCACGGTGAACAACAAGGACACTTATGTGCTGCCTAGCAATCCAGAAATACATTTATTGTCCAGTGAACAATCCGATAACTGCAAAATGCATTTCAGCGACTGTTCACAAACGTGAATGGTGTTCCAGCGAGCGTTATAATCAGAGTGTGCACTTGTGTGTGGGATGAGGGAGCGAGCTGTGATGGAGTGCTGCCGGCCGTCCAAGGTGACTCCACCACCACCACCCACCGTCTCTGGGGGTCGCGCACAACACAGGTCAGGTTTGACACCTCCTCCCTCACCATTTATTATTTCTCAGTCCGATTGCCATCTGAAGTGGGAGGGGGGCCATTAGAAGAGCGAGCCAGATGTAATACGCTGGTTTTATTTAACATTATGGGTCAACCGCCATCTACTGTATAGGGGCCTTGTGAGAACTAAGATCCGATATCATGTATGAATGAACGTTAGAAGTCTCGATTATTTACTGTCGCTGGAGGCTGTGTGAAGACCGTCATCGATGGATATACTGTATATTCTTCTAAAACTCTTGAGTCAAGTGGCGAGTACAGTTTTACCTTCATGTTGGTCCCTGCACATGTGTAACGGCCAAGCCCTGGCTGAAAATGTATGAATGTACCCGACTGTTTGACTTAAACTAAAGTTCAACTCCAAAAATAACATCAGAATTATATCAAGACTCTATCTTAACGAGATGAGTTCATCGAGCACTAATTAGGGGACAAGATTAAGGTACAAAGGTCATTTATACTCCTAACTGGTAATTAGTGAACTTATCTAATTAAGGAAGAGTCTCAGTATAAGTCTGATAATATTCTTGGCTGATATCTTTGTGTTTTTACGTCTTCAGTTACGAGGAATGTTTATCGTAAGAACCTTGTTAACTCGGCCATTACGGTTGGACCTGGACACAAGTAATCGACAAATTTAACCTCTAGGTCTGACGAAATTCAAAGGGCAGTCCCTGAAGGTCGGACTCTGGCGATAATCGGGTGACATATCCTTGCCTTTTTTCACGATACGACCGGTTCATCTGGCCAGGTCACACCTCAGTGGTGACAGATTGCTGGTGACCTCGCCCAAACTGGTGACCTCGACTAGACTGGTGGCCTCGACCAGTCTGGTGACCTCGACTAGGCTCGTGACGTCGATCATGAATGGTGACCTTGACTTTATTTACAACGTTGACTATGAACGGTGACCTCGACCATACTGGTAACCTCGACCATACTGGTAACCTCGACCATACTGGTAACCTCGACCATACTGGTAACCTCGACCATACTGGTAACCTCGACCATACTGGTAACCTCGACCATACTGGTAACCTCGACCATACTGGTAACCTCGACCATAGTGG